GCTTCGCGCTTGGTGATGTGAGAGCCTGGTCCGGTGAGAACCCGGCGTGCTCCGTCCCGGCTTTGTAGGGATGCGAGGTCAATGGTCGAACGACTACGGCATGCACGACTATGAGTACCCCCCCCCCCCTCCCAAAAACAACAGAATATCGGAGACTCGGCGATGGGGGCGATCGGGTGGTGGCTCTTTGGCAACGGGCTAGCCTTCGGGAAGGACAGCGGAGGCTTCCTTGGCACCACCGGCTTCGCCCTGAAGGACGAGAGCATGTTCGGCACGACCTCGGGAGACTTCGTCCCCTTGTCGTACGCGAAATGGATTTTCCAGTGGGCGTTTGCTGCCTCTGCGACGACGATCGGTAAGCCTTGGGGCGTTGGTTTCTTTGTAATGCTTAAAGCGTGCTGCGGATACGAGAGTATGTTCGTGCGTATGTGTCTTCGACGGTGATCGGTGAGTCTTGAGGGGTTGGTTCCTTTGTAATGCTAAAGCATGCTACGGATACAAGAGTTGGTTCGTGCGTATGTGTCGTCAATATTGCATGGAATTCTTCAGTCGCAGTGCGGTTGAAAACAGGAAAAGGTGTGTGCGTGTGCGTGTGTGTGTTGTGCCGTTTCTAGCACCGATATTGACCACGGTAGCTGATTGGCCGAAGAAAATGTCGGCCTGAGCACGGTCATAAAACGGAAAACGGAAAACGCTTCATAATGGCCATGATGTCGGAGGGGGGGGGCTCACGTGGGAGGGTCGGCTATTGTCTGCATTTAAGACAAAAATGATAGCCGACAAAAAGGATACACGTGTCTACTGCTGTGCAGAGATATCTGCTTTGTCATTCATGTTCGTTCTGGCTCTTCTACTGTCTTGCAGCTGGGTCAATCAATTTCCGGTGTGTTCATCTTTTCGTCTGTTTGGCGCTTTCACTGAAACGGCATAACTGCATCCCATGCACCGGGCACGTTGAGGTACGAAATACGGAGCCACGATATCCAAGCACGAGCGAAAAGGCAACCACATCATTGGATTCTTGCACACAACCGAGGTCGTGGTCAACCCCGCCGGTCACTGTGAAATATGTAGCTACATACCATACCGCCAAGCAAGCTGCTGGAATTGGTGCCAAGCAAGGCATCGAGATATCGCACAGCGGGCGCGTGACAGTTCAAGAACGAACATCTCTGTAGTTCGATTTCCTCACGGATCGGAGCTAGCCACGGTGTGGACGGTGTTTATCGAGTTATTGCCAAAATCAAGAATGACATGATTGCTCCCCTTGTGCCATGGCTCCAAGACCTGCGGTATGCCGTGAAGTGGACGTTTGTCCGCTTTCGAACGCATGAGAGTTCCCAGCGTCGGTACATCTTATTCCACTTGCTGTGTGTCGCTGCGTGTCATCACGAAGCATGCGATAAAGTGCAGTCACAACTGCAGCAATACAATATCAACAGCTACGACAGCAACAACATCAGCAAGGCAACAAAAACAACAGCAACGATACCAACACCAGTGCCACCGCCACACAGCCACAACATACGGCAGCAGAGGCAGCCGCAGTAGCAGCAGCAGCAGCAACACTGGCAGCAGCGACAGCCTACACTCAAATCATTTTCCGATACACTGGATGTTCAAGCCAACGTATTCTGTATCACCACCTTGCCTCTTGTCTCCTCTTTTTTGTCTTTCGTGCATTCGACACAACTAAATAGTATCCGGGGCCATGGCCGAGCGTGCAACCTTCGGGGCGTACGTGCTGCATTCTTTCCTCATCACGTCCTTCATATGTGAGTGAAAAACACAATTCCCCCGGCAAGGAATGTACTGTCTTCAATGGGGGGGTGTAGGTGGGTCCCAGATCACATGCGGCTGGGTGAGACGTAAACAAGTTTCTTGCTCTCGTCGTCCGGCGGTTATTTCTTGGTGCAGATGGTCCTCCGTAGTTCTCACCTCCCTTTTGAGAAAATTGGCACCCGAGCAGTTTTCGATGCCTCCGGAAACCCGCACGGACAACTTTTTTGTGGAATTCGAGAGGATCCGTTGGATGACGTCCCGTGCTTTCGACCCAGCCGCGAATAAGCATTGGATTGGGTGGGTGAGGCATTCTGCGCCGGCAGGAGGTCCTCGCTTGCGTACGACGGCATCTCGGCGTGGACGGTACAGCAGTTAAACCTGTTTTGGTTCGCTTTTCTTGTTCATGTTGTTTTCTTGCAGATCCCATCGTGGCTCACTGGGCCTGGTCCGATGGGGGCTGGGCCAGCGCCCGCCTTGCTGACGACGACGACCTCCTTTTCGGTTGCGGCGCGATAGAACTCGCCGGCTCCGGCGTCGTACACGTGGGTTCATACTGTCGTCTTGAACAAGTTGCGGTCGTCGCGGTTGTTGTTGGGAAGGTGTCCAAGCCCCTACCCTCCGGACTCCCTCACTAAGGCTTCCCCCTTTGTCGTAGGAGGGGCTTTCCGAGGAAGTACAACATATACGTAAACGTTTGCTCTGTCTCGATGATGTTGCCTTGGTTGGTGGCGATGTTTACCGTGTTTGACACAAGATAACTCACGCCCTTGACCGATTTTTGAAACTCGATTTCTCAACTTCAGGAACAATCACAGCGCCGAAAACGGCGGCGTTGAAACCGTCGCGTCGAGAGCTTTTCGAAAATGTATCATTTCGTTTATGCATCCTTTCGTCGTGAAGTAATCGAGCTTTGAAAATCGGTCCAGAGGGTGTGTTATCTTGTGTCATATACTGTAGTTTGCCCTGAACGCGATGTAAACAAGCTGAATCAGTAATACCTCTGCGAGTTCGTCTGCCAAGTACTGAGCGGCGACGATTGGCGTCGTTGTCAACAATGACGTGGGAAAAAAAATAAGAGTCAACATCTTGATAGTTCCTTCATGATCTTTTCTTGCTTTAATGTTGTCCGAATGACGAACATAGATTGGCCGGCTTGTTACCCTTTTGCAGATGACGGGAGGGATGGCTGCCCTCACGGGTATCTTCATCCTCGGCCCTCGCGCTGGCAGGTTCAATGAGGACGGTTCCAGCAACACCATGCCCCAGCAGTCCGCAGTGCTCCAGGTAGGCAAACATTGTTTAGGATCGATCGGGTAGGCGGCGTGACCCGATTATTGGGTGGGCGTTTCGTGTACATTTTCCTTGTCGAGCAACAACTAGTGATGCCCCTCGGACAAGACTCGTCGAAATGGGAAATGATCCTTTCCTTTTGTTTTCAACACGCGGGCGTTCGAGTCTTCGGATAGTCTCGATATCCTTCCTGCTTTGATCGCCTCTATCCGCGCCCCTCACCCGTTCTGCTGTTGCGCCCCCCCAAGGATTCGTGCCTTGGTGCCCGGAGCAAGCCCCCTCCCCTGCACATCTCCTGGTTTCATAATGCCCCTCCCACCCTCTTGCACTTTTATCGCTGTTGCACAGACGCTAGGGACCTTCATCCTGTGGTGGGGCTGGCTCGGGTTCAACGGGGGATCTTTACCCTCGTTCGTGTCCATGCCGGCCGTGGCTGCGAGGGTGCGTTCGGGATTGCATCTGATTCAAAAAGTCTCAACCAAGCATGGAATGGTTTTCTTTCTTAGCACATCTGATATTTCTATCTCTACTGACTGGCTGACTCACTCACTCACTCACTCACTCACTCACTCACTCACTCACTCACACACTGACTACCTGTGAACGATTCTTCACCATCTCACATACACCAACGCCCACTCCGGCTCTTACTCGCTCACGCCCACTCACTCACTCACTCACTCACTCACTTGCTCACTCGCCTACTCAGTACCATGTTCGCGCTCACAAGGACATCCATATACTTTCACCAACTCTCGCTCGCTCACTCAATTCACTATTTTATTCATTAACTCTCTGGCGCCCTCTTTCACTGCTCCCTCACTCACTACGGACACAACGAACACCTACATCGTCACGCACCCACCTGGCTCATTCACTCACCTATTCATTTCAAAAGTCACCCATCAGTGTTTATTGCGCTGCTTGTCGCGCATACGGCAAGTCTACTTTCTACAAGAAGTATTATTGGAGGTTAACATGTTTAACACGAACCGTTATTCTGCTTCCTCGAGGATGTGACTTGATCCAAGACAAATATCGAACGAAACACTGAGGAAATCGTGTTGCCCAGAGCTGTCTCCGCCCTTCACCACTAGATCAGTACAACGTGCATGACATTCACACTCTCTCGCCTCATATTCCGCTGGCCGACACCAATCGCTAGGCGAGCGCAATTGCAGCAAGTGTCGGACAGGCAGCATTGCATGTTTGTGTCGAACGGTCTCACCCCGGGATCCTTCCATCCCCAGTGGAAAGGCCATCCAGGGCGCAAGAGGCTAGAATATTGAAAAATTCCGTCATCGGCTGAGAGGCGCATGTGGGTGTGTGTTTATTTCTTCCATTTTGCGAGGACAATCAGCCCACCTGTTTTCCGACCCCGACGCGCTCAGTTCAGTGGACAACTGACATATCACGCATTGAAGGGCAACAGTTTCCACCCTCATCTCCCCCGCCCCCACTCGTTTCCGAAACTAACAACCCAAGTCGCCCCACCAACCGCCTCTTCCGCGGGGCTCTATCGATTGCCCCCACCTCCTTGTTCTTCCTCTTCCACGTTACATCGATAGTGTATGACGGGGATGAAAACGTTCGCAGGTTTTCTACGACTTTGCCCAACTCAGGTGCGGGTCACCTTAGCAACGCATGCCGCAACAGACCATCGATGCATCGGCCATCTGTGAGCCCCCCTCCAACTACCCTTACGCACAACCGCAAGAATCCGTTGGTAGCGTTGAGTGTATACGATGAGAGTCACCGCCCCCCGTCTTGTACGAAAAAATAAAACTGCTGTCGTGGTTATTACAGGTGATGGCGGTCACGGTTATCAGCGGCGCCTCCGGCGGTATTAGCTCCCTCGTCGCCAACAAGCGGCTGTGCGGGTACTGGGACACCGGGAGCGCCTTGAACGGCATTCTAGCCGGTCTCGTGTCCGTTACCGCGGGCGCGGCGACCTACGAGCCTGAGGGAGCCTTCGTCGTGGGGCTCATTGGCGGGATGCTGTACGTCTTCGCGTCTGCCTTGCTGCTCAAGTTGCACGTGAGACGCGGCCACGATAATGAACGTTTCGGTGTGCAGTCGCCTGTGTCTCCTCGTCCACTCCTCTCGTATCGGCTTCGGCGAGGCGTGGTTTAGGGTGTGATGATCAATTTTTCGCTAGTCCTCCTCGTATCTGCTCGTTTGAGGCCATTTCGCCCACAAGTGTTTAAACGCATGCGTACGGACGGGACGAAAAGTATGGTGACCATCCGCACTGAATTGAGGCCTCGTTCAAGGGCCACCAGGATATCGGAATTCATGGATACCCACACACATTGGAGAGCGTCAACACCTGACGTTCATCTTACACCGAGGGACAGGCGAGCTGGCCTGTTTCAAAGAAACGGCGTTTTTTTTTTCACTCGATACTCCCGGCGGCAAAGCACGGTTGGGGTTGACCTCCAGTCCACGTGGAACTCTGATCTACGGTAGTGCGTGGGTCATCTCACCGCCTTGGCTCGCAGCGATACACACGACCTCCTCCGCACCGTCCCCGACTCCATCCCTCTGCGCTACTATTATTCATCTCTTGATCCCCGCCCCTTCCCCCACGAATCACGTGGAAGACAACCCCCCCTCCCCCCGAAGTGTCATTTGACCCCGTGATTCCCCCTCCGCGGCCCCCACGAGCTACGCGGGCGATGCTCTGAACGCTGCTCCCAACCCCCAACACGGCCTGTTGCTCCCGCTCGCCCCGTCGTCAGCTGGACGACGTCGTAAACGCCGTCCCCGTGCACCTCTTCGGAGGCATGTGGGGCCTCGTTGCGGCTGGTTTCTTCGCGTCAAAGTTCGGCTACGCGGCGGCCTATTCCGAGGACAGGTCGGGCAGGTGCGCCGGCGTTCTGTACGGCGGCAGCGGCAGCTCTCTCGCGGCGAACATCATCTTCTTGATGGCGGTGGTGGTCTGGGTGGGCCTCCTGACCCTCTTGCTCTTCGTGGTGACGAAGCTGACCATTGGTGAGACGGAAGAGGGAGAGAGATGGAGTTGGGGGTGGGGAAAGGAGGCGTCGCGCAGGATGTGTAGAAGTAGGCGAGTCTTGACGTCCCTGTCGTTGATGTTCTTGTTGTCATGGAGGCTGATATTGGCAAGCAGCGGTAGCGGCAGCAACAGCAGCAGCAGCAGCCGCAGCAACTCCGCTACCGCCAACAGCGACAGCAGTACTTATTAACAGCAAGAGCAACGACATTAACCACATGAAACCGATACATAGTACCGTAGCGAGATTCGTTTTCGTCTCGCTCCTTCAATCTTCCTTCATCCAACCGACCGACCTCATGCGCTCGTTTTCGGACCTTGCGCCGTCGACAGGCATTCGCGTAAGCAAGGAGCAGGAGATGGCCGGAATGGACGGCTCCAAGCACGGTGGACAGACGTATCCTGAATTTCAATCCGGTTTACGGTGCCTAGACACACCCGTTCTGTCGGTCGGGTAAGTTACACTATCGGCCGGGGATTGGGGACGGGGGGGCGTAATGTGTTCGTCTGTCCGATCTCAATGTGTCATTTTCTTTGGTTTGGATTTGGAGTGTGGTGTTTGGACGTTTCCGTAGGGCCATGTTTTTCACTTATAATAGTGCTACCTTCGTATGAAAGAAATCCGCCCTGCGCGGATTCTCAAGGGCAGTTCCATCTGCTTCGGTGCACCGTGCTTTTGTGTGGTGGGATTGCCGGCTAGAATACAGCCATGCCGTCCTGGTGCGGTGTGCTGTTTTTTCGTTACGGTGGTGTTGCAATGCCATAAACTTGTCGGCAAAGAACGCGGTCCGGTCATTTCTAGGGCGGGATAATCTTGTTTTCTGTTGCCGAAATCTCACAGTCTTCAAGGAATACATTAGTAGGGCTGTTACCACTATTCTTGCTTGACGTTTGTCGGCATGCCTCTATCGTGTCCGCGGGCGCCGAACGAGCAGGGCGGGCGAACGGTAATGGAGACATGGCCACCCGCCGTTCCCCGCGGAGGAAACATCAAGAAGGAAGTAAACAACGAGAAAACGGAAGCTCGCTCTGGACGCTTCTTGCTGGCCGTGGGTGCGCGAGAGACAAGTGCAACTCTTGGCAAGAGGCGCGGCGGTGTCTCTCTCAAGGAGAAGACGGCGGTTGCTTCCCAACTCTTTCGCGTTTCTTTGTTTGTAGTCTGCTTGCTGTTGCGGTTGTGCATAGACTATAGATAGATGTACTCATATGCGTGGCAGTTGTGTTGTTGTCGATGTCGTGGTCGTTGACGTGGTGATTTGTGGAGTTCTGCGAATGTTGTCTTGGTTATCAGTGTTGTTCGTGCTGATACGTTGGTTGGTGTGATTGTGTACACTTCAAATGCGCATCAAGAGTTGCAGCGATGTAAGGGTGTACGGTAGCGTCCGATCTCGTCGGGGCTGGCCGGCTGTCCTCACGTTGGTTTTGGTGGGATTTTTGAATCGTTGCCCTCATTACGAACCCCTAGAAGCTTAGCAGGAGTGAATGTGATGTAGTGAATGATGAAACTCGATTCTGTTGGTTGATGCAATCATGGGGGCGGACTAGAATGTGAAGACCGTTTGTTGGCGGGAGGAGGTTCAAGACACTGCAGGATGGGATTGTTTATGGGTCGCGGGTATGCCGAACCTCAGCGTCTTGATTTGTTTTGTGGCGTCCTATTGAACAAGTGTAGCCCCATGGTAAGACTATCGGCTTCTTTGTCGGTCAAGCGCTTAATTTCCTCAACAGTAGCTTGGTCGATACTGTTTCAGGAGAATGGCGGCCGTCTCCCTACCGGGAGACCTGCTGTAGGTGGGGAAGATGTCGGGATTTCACCAACAGATCGGCTCGATGGGAGGGGGTGAGTGGTGGCATGAGGCTCAAGCGGCCAAGGTTTGTAAAGAACACACGCCGCACGCGTATTTCGTCGTTGTTACTGTACGGGGTACAGGAGCTCACCACGCTCCTTCCTCTACCCCCAAAGTAGACGGGTAGGCAGGTGCTCTCTCAGCTCAAAGCTATGGAAACGGGTGTAAAATGTTTGTATGGTAGTCTTATTATTTTGCTTGATTCCGTTGCGCGCATGTTCTTGTTTTCATGATCGCTCTATTCCGCTCTTGTTCGTTGACGAAGGGGGCTAGTCATCACAGAGAGGAGGGGTGATGCTCAGATAATTTGTGTCATGATCATCCACATCGTGTGGGGGGAGCATGAGGCGCCGGGGGCGGGGGGCATTGATGTGTGTAAAAAATAGCGGAGGAGCCACTGATAACATCTGCAGCTGGAGTCCATGTTGCTACATTGTGGAAACAACATGGCAAGTGCTCCGGCTGTGTACTACCGTAGTATGCGGACAATCGCTAGCCCACGTTCTCATCGTACTTGAGCCTCTATTAAAAGGATTTACCAGCTTTTAGAGTTGACCGGGGTCGTCAAACACGACGCAAATCGCGCCCTCGTGTAGCCCTTTTTTGCAGCACGGCGGGGGGAAGTTNGGGGGGGGGGGGGGGGGGGGGGGGGGGGGGGGGGGGGGGGGGGGGGGGGGGGGGTACTCATGTTTTGCATGTCTTCGCGGTTAGACTATTGGCCACGCGAGCCGTTGCTCGAGGGGGGAAAAGGTACAAGAAAGAACTAGGGCATGGCGCGGCCGGCCGCCATACCCTGGTCCTCTACTCCCAGTAGAGAGGTAGGCAGATGCTCTCCAGCTCAATGCTATTGAAAGGGGTGCACCATACTTGTATTGTCGTCTTATCTTGATTCCGTTGCGCACAGTTTTTTTTTCCATGGTTGCTCTATTCCGTCTCTCTTGTCCGCTTGAGTAAGAACGGTGGCGCAGGGGTCTAGCTATCACATAGAGGAGGGGTGATGCTCAGATGATTTGTGTCATGACCATCCACAACGTGCAGGGGGGGCGTGAGGCGCCGGGGTGGCATTGATATGTGTATAGTAGCGGAGGAGCCACTGAATACAGCTGCAACTGTGTCTATTGTTGGCCGTGTTACAAGGCAAGTGCTCCCGGCTGCGTACTACCGTCCGCAGAATGCTGACAATTACTAGCCTACCTTCACGTCGTACTTGAAAATCTCTTGAAAGGGTTTGCCGGCGTATAGAGTTGACCGGTAGGGGGGGCCGTCGTCAAACACGACGCCAATCGCGCCCTGGGGCAGCCCTACTTGTAGCGCGGTGGGGGGGAGTTCGTCAGTAGGAAAGGTATGTTCCAACGGGGGGGTGCTCTGCTCGTTGGGGGGGAGGTACAAGAAAGAGTATCAGCTGCTTTGGCTCGGATCACATCCGCTAGTCCTCATCCACCAAAAACAAAAGGTGAGACCGCGTGGCTCCGAAGCATCCATAGACATGATCAGAAGACGAACCGTCTCCTGGGCCTCGCGTGATGAGGTGTCGGGCGCGAGGGGGTCTGCGGCGATGAGGATTCGTTACTTTTTCTTCGGAGTTTGACCGGTGGCGACTGCGCACACTCACTCCTTTTCGAGACGTGCGGGCGGAGCAGGACATGACTTCAGGAGACCGTATGTGCTTCGTCTAGAATTTAATAGGTGCCACCATTCTCGCACCTTCATGGTTGCTGCTGCAGAGATCATTCGAGCCTTGGAAGCATCATGCGGCACTACCGCTGTAGTTTAGTCCTCTTCTTATGAAGCAGTAGGCGTCCGATCCATCCGCGTTATACTTGCGCCGTGTCTCTGTGTTTGACGTGCTATGCATACATAAGTACGCCTTCCCTGGGCATGAAAGGCCCCCGTGGGTACCACCTCCTACGTGCCATATTCATATGGCATCCGATCGGTGGTGGTGGTGGATTGCACAGAGACTCGAAGAATACCGCATTGGCTACATCGATAGACAAGAACTTCAGCAAGCAGTACACACACACAAAAATTGTGCCTCCGTCGACAATAATGGACCTCGAGCGAAAGTGCAAACGCGTACACCTTAGCTGTCGCGGCGTCGGGATCGCCACCATTCCGAGCATTCCGGGTCTCTTCCATGACGGCGGGTGGTCCGTGTCAAATGAACGATCTAGCTATTCGATGCACCCAGGGGGACGCATAGTCTAGCAGGCAAAGATTCCAACACCCTCACAAAAAATCCCGTTCGACTGGGCGGGATACACAGCAATATCTCGAAACGGGTCGGGTAGTCTTTCTGTGGTTGTCGGTCTAATATAAATAATGACATGCAACCACGCCTTTGTCCTTACCGACGGAACCATGATGTGCCGAGACGTGCTTCCCCGCGCCGGAGGAAAAAAAAAAAAAAATCATATTTTCAAGCACCCCGCTCACCGTGCCGTAACACATCCCCTGACCACAGACGAGAGCGAGAAGGAGAACTGCAAAACCGGGGGAGGGCAGGGTCTAGGCACACGTCAAAGGCGTTAGCCCGCTGGTGTACCTGTCGGGAGCGTCACGACAATGGAAACGACAGAGTGAGTGTGGGATAAATATGGGTGTCTTCTCTTTATCACAGTTCTCAATTCGCCATCCCTTCCGAGGACATGTAACATGTCGGCCCTTACCTTCGTGTAGAGTGTACAGCAGACCACTTGGTTCCGAGACGACGGCAGCCAGCTGTGCGTGCGGTCATGCTCATAAGTAACATGCATGGTGTTGCGGGAGAGAGCCGACGATTTTCGCATGTTTCACAGCAGCAGTAGAACTTGCAGTTCGAATTGCGGTGAGGGTCTTCTGTCGGGCACGCGTTTGAAGAATTGCTGCAATCTCTTCCCCCGCGTACGTACATAAAAGGCAAAACATGTTACATGCTGCCTCTGTTGTCTCGCGCGACTGCACCTCTCTGACCTTGATGTGTGTATGACGTGTGTGTGACAATGCATCTGCTGTGAGGCCTGTCGATGTGCCATACCAGCGGCGTGCGACAGTGCATGTACAATGCTGCTGGCGAGTTTCCCTCTCCTCCTCCCTGTCGTGAACACAATGCGGAGGCGGATCAAACTGGTTCTCTTTTCAGTATTATAATTTCAGTACGAAGAGCGGGAAAAAAAAAAAACGGCTGCGCGGCAACAGCAGTAGAGCGGGCGCGCGCAGGTGTGGCCGACACTACCCGTAACCTTCCGGTGCAATATCTATCGTTGTTGGGATGCATTGCGGTGGTATAGCTGTTACAGCAGTAGTGAACCCGCCAAGTAAACTGCTGTCTCTACTCCCGGGAGGAGAAGCATCTGCGTCCAACTGCCCGACATGCTACTGGTGTAGACAAGATGCCACCGCCTATGCGGCGGCGGACCGCAGGAGGCGAGATGCCACTTCCTTGTCAAGGAGGTGTAAGTGTCTTCCCGTGCATTTGTAGGTGGTGGAGATAAAGGGCTTCTCAGTAGTTGGTCGATGATGGTGGTCTAGGGTACCGTTCGCACACGTAGTACAAGCTGGGCCAGCCAAGAAGCTAACATTCAGTCTTTCAGCCATGAATGCTGAAGGAATCAGAATTGGAACGAGCTCGGCACATCTGCTCAATCAGCCAATCACAGCGGATTTGCCCATGCCTATAGAAATCCTGTTGAACACATTCTCTCCAAAAAGGGACAATCCTCCGCATTTTATCTGGGTTTAAGAGTCGGGAAAAGAAATATGAAACGCTTTTCTTTGCGGCGGAATTTCAATTTTTCTTGAAATTGTGCCCAACGGATGCACACAGCACCCGCTGGCACCGAGGAGTGCACAGCATGGAGAGCCTAGTAGCAGCAGTCACACGCAATGGCTGGCAGAGAACCTCTGAACCCGTATGCTATCCAGAGAGGTCTAAGGGGAAGTGGCGGCTACGGCTCAATTTCACAAGCCGGAAAGGAGACAGGGCAACGAGGAAGCACGGCCCCTTGTGCAAGACAGAGCAGGAAGCGCTTGGGGGCAGCCTTGCCTTCAGGTACAGCTGGGAGGGCAGCCAACGTGGTCAGCCCTGCGAGGTCAGCAAGGAGAATATAGTCCCACCTGTTGCAGCGGGTACTACGCTTCCAGCAGGCAGGTCGTGAACTGCGCAGTTTTACACTTGTACAAACACGATGTGGACATGATCATGCAATATTGATTTTTTTTGTTTTTTCTGAGGTCGGAGCAACGGCAGCACACGCGACACCGTGCCAGCGACTGCTGCTGTACCTACTACACGCGGCCAGTCATNTTTTGTTTTTTCTGAGGTTGGAGCAACGGCAGCACACGCGACACCGTGCCAGCGACTGCTGCTGTACCTACTACACGCGGCCAGTCATGCCGCAGGCTGGACTTACGTCGAGCATGTTCTATTAGGGACTTGAAGTAGGTGGCACTCTTACAAAAGAGATGGCGGCGTATGTTGATTTGTACACGACCACATTTTTTGTGAGATGTGGTCGTCAGCCGGGATTTT